TTCTTCACATCAGCTATATGTTCTTTAACGCGGGTTTTTATTGATCTTTTAGTTTGTCCTATGTAGGAGAGACCACATTTACAATCAAGCTTGTACACTCCTGCATCTTGCAGAGGGACATTACACTTGACCGATGGTAAAAACTGACCAATCTTCTTCAGCGGCTTGAAGTATGTTTTGATGGAAGCGCGCTTCAAGATGTAGCCAATCTTGTCAGTGACTCCTCTAACGTATGGCAGTACAGCAGGTACACGCTCGACTGTGGCCGGCTTCACTCGTTCACTGTAACGTAGGCGCGGGACTCGAAGCTTGTTGTCATGCAAAACTTGCTTGACATGGTGGAGCTCTGCAGCCAGGTGTTTACTGTCACAGATCCCTCGTGCTCTCTGAAACAAAGATTTACCCACGGTAGCTAACTGTGAAGGATGGTGGTGAGAATCACCGTTTAAATATCTATCTGTATGGATCTTTTTTCTATACACATTTTGTCAGCGAGATTAAAGACCTACATCTGGCAGACAATGAAACTATGGTCAGTTTTGATGTGCAGTCATTGTTTACATGCTTACCTGTTGAAGACTGCATCTCAATTGTAACTGGAAGGCTGGAAGAAAACAACATGCCCGTAGAATATGCAGTATTACTCAGACACTGCCTTACATCTGGCTACCTATTGTGGAAGGAGGAGTTCTACAAGCAAGTAGATGGTGCGGCGATGGGCTCACCTGTATCTCCCATTGTCGCCGACATATTCATGGAAGACTTTGAGGAGAAAGCCCTGCTTAGTTCTCCCATAAATCCAAGGTTCTACAAGCGGTACGTAGACGACACTTTCACAATTCTACCTTTAGATAAAGTAACTGCATTTTTAGACCATCTTAACTCTATAAATTCTAAAATTCAGTTCACAATGGAGTTAGAGGCAAACAATTCCTTAGCTTTTCTAGATGTGTTAGTAATTCGGAATCCTGATAACACCTTGAGCCATACTGTGTATAGAAAAAAGACCCATACAGATAGATATTTAAACGGTGATTCTCACCACCATCCTTCACAGTTAGATACCGTGGGTAAATCTTTGTTTCAGAGAGCACGCGGTATCTGTGACAGTAAACACCTGGATGCAGAGCTCCACCATGTCAAGCAAGTTTTGCATGACAACAAGCTTCGAGTCCCGCGCCTACGTCACAGTGAACGTGTGAAGCCGGCCACAGTCGAGCGTGTACCTGCTGTACTGCCATATGTTAGAGGAGTCACTGACAAGATTGGCTACATCTTGAAGCGCGCTTCCATCAAAACATACTTCAAGCCGCTGAAGAAGATTGGTCAGTTTTTACCATCGGTCAAGTGTTATGTCCCTCTGCAAGATGCAGGAGTGTACAAGCTTGATTGTGAATGTGGTCTCTCCTACATAGGACAAACTAAAAGATCAATAAAAACCCGCGTTAAAGAACATATAGCTGATGTGAAGAATCGACGCTCCGGGAAGTCTGCAGTCTGTGAACACGTACAGGATCGCCCCCGTCACTACATCAGATTTGATAGACCGCAGATCCTCGCTAAAGAACACCGATTCCTTCCAAGGATGATTCGCGAGGCTATTGAAATCAAAAAACATCCTAATTTCAATAGAGAAGATGGCTGGGTGCTACCATCTGCTTGGGATCCTATAATAAATAAAATTAAATCCCAACCCAAGCATACAACTGCAAGACTTCAAGATACCATAAGTTCATACTGCATAGATCGGAACAAATTTAAATTTTAATCTGTGGTAACCGCGGTTAACTATGACATATGGACGTTGAACATCTCAGTCCTGCCCGTGACCATGAGTGCTGTAAAGCGTTCGAAACGTCGGGTATTTAAAAAGTTAAAATATACGCGATAAATTCCGTAAAAACTAGTATTATTTCAATGTGTAGTGTTCGCGTAAATATAAGAAATCATAACGCACCTGCAATTCCTCTGGTGTTGCTGATGTTCATGGGCGGCGGTAGTCACTTAACAGCAGGTGAACCGTATGCTCGTATGCCCCCTTTTCTGTAAAAACTATATTTAGAGGCCAATTTTCAGCATAACGATAAAAAGCTCCTCATCAAAGGTATCTCTGTGGTATGATAAGTTTTTTTTTAAAACGTTAACCCTACACTAAGATTTCCTATCGTATCGTGGGGACAGTTTACAAACATAAATTGCACAAGGACAAACATCCAGACCCGGAACAACTATATGTAGGCCATACAGATACTTGTTCCGTGCGGGATTCGAACCCGCGACCGCCAGCGCAGCCACTCATTGCTGAGCCACTGCACCACGGAGTCGTCAATTATTATATTTACCTTTAAAATATTTTACATTTAAATTAGATACTCTTTTTAGAATTTACAGTTAATATTTGCCTTTATAATATTTAAATTAGATATTTTTTTATGCGAGAAGACAATTTTAAAATAAGATGCACAAGAATATCGCGTCAGTCCGTGTTTTACCCAAATATTTTTTTTAATTCGTCGAGTTTTAATTTAACAAGTGGCGAGCCACCAATAAAAACTAATTTCCTATATAAAATTTTTTACAAGATTAAATAATAGACGAGCTAACACAGTCTATCTAGCAGTATTACGTATGTGACTAAAGCAGCCCTTGAAAACATGTAATTATGCGTTACTACTACAGAGAACTAAGATGAAATGCCTCTCAGCTTAACGCTTCAAACCGCTAGACAGCAAAGAGTACATTGTTGTTTGTCAGCAGATAATTATGTCCTCCAGGCCGAATTTCGATCAAGGTGACCAACCTCAAATGTAAACTATCCATCGGTGAGACAGGATTATAGTGCCCAAGTGTATGCGCAATCACAGGTTCACTCTCTATTCCTTCACTCTCATAGTCCGATGAGATGGTACACCGACACGACCGGAGAGATATCACGAGCAGGGCTCACTGCTACATGTGATTTTCGAGGCATGGCGTTGAGACACCACCAACTTCCTGACTTCGGGTAACTACTGAGAATTTCTTGACGGAAAAACTCAATAACTTAAAAAACTGCAATATCAGGCAGCAGATACAGGTAGTGAAGTAAAGTTGTAGCTTGGATACGTAGCTGGGCACATGAATCATCTCATTTCTGACAGGATTTTGAAGTAAGGAAGTACCCTCGCGCTGCCCCAATACTTCACATGTCTCCAATTTTTTTTTAAATTTCTCAAGCATGCTGTTTTCTTTACTACTGACTTCTAGTAATTGATGCTAGATAAGATATAACATTTCGAAGACATGTGAAATCTGCCAACACGCACTGCGGTCCAATTGCTTCATAACCCTCTCAAAATGAGAGGAAACTTTTGCACTATATAGTTGGATGTTTAAATCTATATTAAAAGTAATGGAACGGTCACATTAAAAGGCGTGCTAAGAGGCATACTTATTGGTGACTCAAATCTAGCTTAACCCTTATGTGAGTGACGAGGTACCCGGTCTTCTTTGGCATTTTCAAATTCTAAAAAAGTATGTTTTACGCCCTATATGTAGCTGTGACTTCTTGAGAGCTCTTAACTATTTATAAATTACATGTTTTTTAATGTTTTGACCAAGTCTACTATTTACAGTGTTTTGTGGAAACCAAAACATATTTTGAACGCACAATCGAGTAACAAGGTACCCGGGTACCTCTTTGTGTTGTGTATGACTATGAGGATAGTATTTTGAAATTCGTACAAAAATTAAATAATAAACATTTGTCGAAGTATTTTATTTCTATAAAAATTACAAATTATTTGTTCATACAGTATTAATTACAGCTCTCGAAGCAGATGTTACATGTTGGACGAGTTACTGCATGTTCATCACAAACTTATTTTCAACAGTTAGTGCAAGCTTTTCGAGTTTTTATTTGCTTGCGTTTGAGTTCTCTGCATAGGTAACAACTTCCGACGACTGCAACACGCCCTGTAGAATCCCATCTAGTTTGACTTATAGAAGTTGTAGATCCAAAAGAAATTGATGGCCTAAGTTCTCGGCCAAGCACGTTCTATATTGCAGATCTCACATGTAATTTTGATGTCACAATGCAATTTTTTGATCTCTTTTGAATCTATATTTTACAATACAGTTGTAGACTCAATGATTTCAAAAACTTTCTATGTTTGTCACTCGAGACCAATTGTGAGTTCAGTTAAATGTAAATAATATATGCTGCCAAAGCTGCAATGTCAATAATATTGTAAAAGAGTGCTAAAGGCCACCGATTTGTTCTGCGTTTTACGGTATATTCTGCTAACAACTTATCCATGTTGTCCACTCCACTTTTGGTTTTATTATAATATAAAATTATTTCTGGCTTGGCAGTTTCCTTATTACTGTCAATAATTGGTGACATGTGCATTAATGACAACATTATTACTGCTTTATTCTTTTTAGGTACGTAAGAGCACACAGTTGCTTCTTTGCCAAATGCGAAATTAGAAGAATAAATAGCCCTCACCTTGTGTGCTTGCATATTTGCAGGAAGAAACCGTTTATTTTTTTTCTTACCGTTCCAACTAGTCATATTCCACGAATTAAAGGAATGAGCCAGTTGAAGCGACGTAAAAAAAAATCCGTAGATACATTCAGCCCTGAATTTTTATATTTATCCTCGAGATCTAATACAGCGCATTCTCCTATATTTGTTTGACGTGTACCAACACTTGACTTTCCTGTATATATTTGTCCATTTAGGGGGTAGGAATTATTTGCATCACAAGCCCAGAATATTTGATGCCATCCTTTTCAGGTCATCAAATTTAAAGTGGATATAGTCCAAATATCTCGTATAGTAGCGGCTTTATCAGCTAACAAACGTTCAGGGCGCGTTACATCATTATCGAACCTTATGAAGCGTAGCAGCATTTTGAATCTATCATAGGACATCGCAGCCCGAAATAATGGTAGGTGACTGGATTTCCACAGTTCAGTCAAATGCTCTTTATTAGATCTATGCACCCCACTAAAAATTATAATACCAAAAATGCATCCAATTCTTGTTCTGTGAATGGTTTGAATATTTTTTGTTTCGGTCGCTTGCTAATATCAGGGTAATTTTCCATCAGTTTATTATTGTATGCTTCAGTAATTTTTGTCCCTTTCCGATTAGTTTCCCTCAAGATTATGTCACACATTTCATTGGACAATATATTTTTGAATATTTCCATTTGATTGTAAAGTTTGCTGAACGATGCAGCCCCGCCCCGTTGACGAATAATATTTCTGCTACTAGTTTGTGTTCTGGGAAGTGGTTCAGACTGCCAACGTATTCCATCTTTTGCGATAAGAATATTTTCAAGCGATTCCCCTTCAAAACTCGCATCGGAATCATAAGAATCAATCTCATTTTCGACTTCAGCTTCCGGCTCAACATCAAAAATTTCAAATCTACCCTCTTCCCCTAAAGGAATATAGTCATGTTCATTATCAGAAGCAACAAACTCACCTTCGTCACTAGAAGATTCTGCTAATATCTCTAGTAAATCTGTTGAATTATATCTTCGAACACGTGATCTTTGTTGAGAAGTACTTTTTCCAATATTCATAATGAAATAATTATAAACTCACAAAATACAAATATGCTCGTACAATAGAAACAAAGGTATACAGTCAAATGTCAAGCACGATGCACTGAATGGATTCAGTGTTTCTTGCGCGCCGATAACCATGTACCGCACTCCACCTCTCCTCCGCTTTTATCGCCACAGGTTGTCAACTGTTTAGCTTAGCTAAAGTAATAATATTCAAAGTATGTGTAACACAAAAATAGATCTTGATTGTTTACATTACGTATACACTGTATGAAGGTACCCGGGTACCTCGTCACTCTGTTAAAGGTGTTTTATTTGTCCCTCATACAAGAGTTAAACTAATCACACCAGTCTCGAAAACAGGCCCAAAAATAGCCAGCCTTTCGAACTTATATAGGATACCTTTTGGAAAATGTACACAAGAATTGCATTAATTAATTCCTTGCTTTTCCTTCCACCATCGGACTAGCAGACGCTCAACCAGCCCTTTCGTTTTGACTTATCACGCATCCGAATCAAACGGTTAGCTTCATCGTTCGTCATGCTTACATTAAAGGATTGGAATAAGTTGCCAGCAACTGTTCTTTCATCCATTGTAAATGGATGGTCAATCTAAGGTGTCTTTTACACAAGAATGAATAGGCTTTTGTTGATAATTGATAGAATCAGGCGTTACTTTGCGGAAATCCATCATAATAAAGATATTAATATTTACTTTGCAACCATTCGATAAATTTAACGGAATTTAGCGGGTGGTTGCAAACTAAATATTAATATCTTTGGCTTTTTTTTGAGTCAATGTGCTTTACCATCTTCGGCAGCATTACCACAAACTGTTAGTTTAGTGGTAAAGCTACCAGTTAGGCTTAGGATAGTAGGCAAGCACTAGCTAAAATAGTAAAAAAAATAAGTAAATTAGTACACTACGCTGCTTACTAACAAAGAAGTTAAAATACATATAATTCAGTAAATTCAATAACAAAAAATATGCTTGATTAATATACGATATTAATCTGGCGTGTTCGTTGTTTTAGAATAAACTTAATTCAACAGTGATAGTGATTCCCATGTTTGTTTCAGTGTAAAACGAAAATTTCATTTAATAATTTTATTTAACACTTTTAAACAAGACTGAGATGTTCAACGTCCAGATGTCATAGTTAACCGCGGTTACCATAGATTAAAATTTTAACTTTTGTTCCGATCTACACAGTATGAACTTATGGTATCTTGAAGTCTTGCAGTTGTATGCTTGGGTTGGGATTTAATTTTATTTATTATTGGATCCCGAGCAGATGGTAGCACCCAGCCATCTTCTTTATTGAAATTAGGATGTTTTTCGATTTCGAAAGGAATCGGTGTTCTTAAGCGAGGATTCGTGGTCTATCAAAACTAATGTAGTGACGGGGGCGATCCTGTACGTGTTCACAGACTGCAGACTTCCCGGAGCGTCGATTCTTCACATCAGCTATATGTTCTTCAACGCGGGTTTTAATTAATCTTTTAGTTTGTTCTATGTGGGAAAGATCACATTCGCAATCAAGCTTGTACACTCCTGCATCTTGCAGAGGGACATTACACTTGACTGATGGTAAAAACTGACCAATCTTCTTCAGCGGCTTGAAGTGTGTTTGGCATTGCTCGGCAGCCAGGTGTTTACTGTTACAGATCCCGCGTGCTCTCTGAAACAAAGATTTACCCACGGTAGCTAACTGTGAAGGATGGTGGTGAGAATCGCCGTTTAAATATCTATCTGTATTAATCTTTTTTCTATACACAGTATGGCTCATAGTGTTATCAGGATTCCGAATTACTAACACATCTAGAAAAGCTAAGGAATTGTTTGATGACGATGATGTGAGAACGATGTTAAATATTTTTATTCCAGTCAATTATTTTTATACGTGGTAGAGCTTTGCTGCAATTATATTAGTAGTACAGTTGTAGCACGAATGGGTCAGCTCGACCGGGGAAGGACCACGCTCTCACAGAATACCAGAGTGAAATGGTAGCTTGATGCTGATGTGTTTCGTATGGTGAGTGTAGAGAACCGGAGACTCTTTTTACTGGAAATGAGGCATTCCATATTAGTCCTCACGGGTGACAAAACATCTGCATTTTGATTCGTAATCGAAGATAGATGTGGATGACAATGGGCCACAGCAACCAAAACAAAAAATTTAACAATGATGTGAATCCAAGTCAATACATTAACTTTAATATTGAAAGCTTACAAAAATTAATGTAAAAAAATTCTATTAACATAAAATTACCTAGGAGCAAAATAACATTAAAACCATGGATAACAATAGGATTACTGAGGTGCATAAGAATAAGAAACAGAATGCACTTCAAACTAAAAAAAGACCCCCATAATGAGACACTCAGAATCATGTACTTAAGGTATAGAAAGTATTGCAATAACATTCTGAAAAAATGTAAAAGAAATTATGAAAGCAACGAATTAAAAATAGCAGGTAATGATGACAAAAAAATTTGGAAAGCTATAAAAAAATTAATGATCTAGACCATCGTAAAAATTTACCGCTGGAACTTCTTAAAGCTAATATGTCCTCTTAAATTTGTAAACGCGGCCAATGAATATTTTGCCAAAATAGGTGCTGAATTAGCCAGTAAAATTCCTCTAAATATTCCATTACTTCCTCAAAATATAAATAGAAGAACATCAAGGTGTAACTCGTTTGTTCTCCTAAACACTAGTGAAGAGGAAATCGAAAGGTACATTTTAAGCCTTAAATCAGACAGCGGTGCAGGATGGGATGGGATCTCTGTTAGAGTATTAAAACTTCTCAAAGATATAATGGTACCTCCCCTTACACATATCTTTAATGTATGTATATCAAAAGGCATCTTTCCTCCCTCACTAAAAAAGTCTATAGTCATTCCCATATTTAAAACTGGCGAAAGAGACTGTGTCTCAAATTATTGTCCTATTTCAATATTACCTTCCCTCTCGAAAATCTTTGAAAAGATTATTAACTGTAGGCTTATCAAATATCTGGATGCAAATGATATAATTTCAAATCTCAATTCGGTTTTAGAAAGGGAAAGTCAACAACTGATGCTATACACGCCTTAACTAGTTTTATTGTTGAGAAATTGGATAGTAAAAAAAATGCCTAACCATTTTTATTGACCTTCAAAAAGCGTTTGATACAGTTTCTTTCGCTAAGTTTTCTGAAAAACTAGAAATGATGGGCATAAGGGACAAACAGTTACAACTACTTATGGATTATTTACATAATCGAACACAGAGCGTTCGGATAGGTAACATAGTAAGCGATGAACAACCCATTAGTTACGGCATCCCACAAGGCAGTATACTTGGCCCAACGCTATTTTTATGCTACATTAATGAACTTTGTGACTTAAATATAAAAAAATTGTAAAATAATATCATATGCCGATGATACTACACTAACTTTTTATGGGGATTCATGGGAAGAAGTTTTTAACATTGCACAAGAAGGTTTTAATACCGTTTGTCAGTGGCTAGCCATAAATTCACTTTCACTTAATGTTGATAAAACCAAATATATTACGTTCTCTATTCGAAAATTACCAAAATATATTAGCAATTATAAAATTATAGCTCATTCATGTTTTCAATTTCCTAGTTCAAACTGCAACTGCTTTAATATAATAAATACACAAGAAATCAAATATTTAGGAATAACAATAGATAACAATCTTAAATTCAAAGCACACATAAGAAATTTAACCCAAAGAGTCAGAAAAGTAACGTACATTTTTAAAAACTTAAGACATGTCACAAACTGTATATTGCTAAAAACTGTTTATATATCCTTGTGCCAATCTATATTAACCTACGGTATTACTGTTTGGGGAGGTTCCAATAAAACACACATGCTTGAATTGGAAAGAGCTCAACGAATGATTTTAAACGTTGCACTTTATAAACCAAAATTTTTCTCAACAACCAGTTTATTCAATGAAGCTAACGTGCTTACAGTACGAAAATTATACATATTGTATTCAATTTTAAAAAAACACACTTGCACTGTGTATACACCCAATTTACTACAAACTAGGAGAAGAAATTATGAGGTATGTGAAACGATACAAGCAAAATCTACTTTCGCCTAAAAGTTTTATGGGTACAGAATAGGCAGGTTATAAAATAAGGTTAATAAAAACATTCAATTTTTCAACATAACAAAATATAAATGTAAGAAAAAATTAACAGATTGATTATGAAACTAGATTACGAAGAAACAGAGAATTTACTGTAAAAGCGGAATAGTGAGAAACACACACACACACACACACACACACACACACACACACACACACACACACACACACACAACATACACACAAACACACACACACACACACACACACACACACACACGCACACGTATATTTGTATGTTTGTATATGTATATATATATGTATTTATTTATATATGTGTATATATATATTTATATAAAATTTTGATTATATACTTTTATTATTATCATGTAAAACATATTGCATATTATATTATTATATTTATTCTATATGACTTTAATTGTAAATGACACTTTGGAAATCTCATATCCGATCTCCACATGCAACGCTCCCTTCATGTCTAAGAACAGTATCATCGAAAAGTATGTAATAAAGCCAAGAGGGGGGAGCCAGGAGACCCATAGCACAGGGTAACCTAGTTTGGGCTCCTGTCTCCCACAACTACTCAAAAATCTCTTTAACTTTTATGAAACTATTGTAACTATGTAAAATGTGGGAGAAATAAATATTTATTATTATTATTATAATATGTTCGAAACTACTAATGGTGGCAGGTAGATATAGGTAATATTAAAAATTAGCTTTAACTTTGTAGCTTGTAGTGGATTCTTTTTTAGGGCGGATAAACGGTATAACTCGCAGTGCGTAAACCTAGATTTACTCGTGTATCAACCATTACCCGTAAAATATACATTGAGTAGAATTTTGTAATTTTTCTCTATATTTCATTAGTTTTCAAC